GTGGGGGGTCAGGGGTGGCTGGGGGAACAGGTGACGTGGAGGTAGAGGTGAGGGGCAAGGGTTGGGGTGGGCGCAGCAAGCCGGGTGGCTGGCAGGGAGCTGTTTCTGGCCAGTGAAGGGGGCTGGGGCTGTGGCAGGACTGGAGCTGGTGTGGCAGGGCAGAGCCTTGCCGCGCCGCGCTCTGCAGCCAGCTCCCGGGGGGACACAGCCAGAGCTGAGCTCCTGTGAACCTTTAAAATCAGTGCTGCGGGGCGGGGCAGTGGCGAGGCGGGGCGGGGCAGGGCATTGCCAGGGGCAGCTGCTTACATGGAAATGCCTCCACTGGAAATGTCCCACCCCAAGCACATGCTTGATTTGCTGGTGCCTAGAGCCAGCCCTGATTTTGTCCCACTTCTTTAAATGGAGTGGCTGCATTTATGTGTTTTCACTAACCTACTCTTATATCGACTGCTCCCAACAACTGCTTCCTTTCTCGAGACTAGTGACTAGGGACGTTAAATTGCATTTAATCAACTAATCAACTAGTTGAGGGAATTTCTATTGGTTAACTGATGAGTCAATAAGCAGGGGAAACTGTGGAGCCTGTGGTCCCAGGAGCTAACTCCGCTGCAGGTCAGCCTTTTAAATGTATTAAGAGCTGGCAGGCTCTTAATACATTCAAAAGGCTGAAGTGCAGTGGAGTGGATCAGGGTCAAGCTGGGACAGCTGATTCCCAGCACATGCCTGGTCTCCGCCCCTCCGCCCCCATGCTTCAACTTTTTAAATGTACTAAGACCTGGCAGGCTCTTAATACATTTAAAAAACAGAAGTGTAGTAGCACCTGGGACTGGGTGCGAGCTGAGAATCAGCTGATTCCCAGCTCTTGCCCAGTCCCCCTACTATGCCTCTTCCTCTCCTGCACTCTGTGGAGACGGTGCTGGGGAGAAGCAGCTTTTAAGCCGGCTCCTTCAGCACCAGCTCCTGCACCCTCCACCCCCATAGAGGCAGCAAGGTGAGGGAAAGCGACTAGTCGAGTAACTATTTGACTATCTGGTAAGCTTATTCTTCTTGGATAGTTGACTAGTAGCTAAGGGTATGTCTACACTACCACCCTAGTTCGAACTAGAGTGGTAATGTAGGCAACCGAAGTTGCAAATGAAGCCCGGGATTTGAATTTCCCGGGCTTCATTTGCATAAAGCCGGGCACCGCCATTTTTAAATGTCCGCTAGTGCGGACTCCAAGCACGAGGAGTAACGGTAGTTCGGACTAGGAAGCCTAGTCCGAACTACCTAGTCCGTGCCGCGTGTAGCCGCGCGGCACGGAGTCCACGCTAGCGGACATTTAAAAATGGCGGCGCCCGGCTTTATGCAAATGAAACCCGGGAAATTCAAATCCCGGGCTTCATTTGCAACTCTGGTTGCCTACATTACCACCCTAGTTCGAACTAGGAGGGTAGTGTAGACATACCCTTACATCCCTAATGTTGACACATCAGTTTAGGCCTCTGTGCTGGGACTATGGATTGGAGTACCGTTAAATAGTTCTACTTGTAGACGACAAATCAGTGTGCACATGGCAGAAGCGATTCATTCCTGGTATGTGTATCTGGGTACAGTATAAAATAGATGTGTATAAATGTATGAAGTGTTGCTTTATCCGTTCCATGTTTTCTCTCCACCAACCAAAGTCGCTAAAGATGATGGCAATGCTACTTCTGCGAAAGATTTCCCATGCGCAACAATTCAGAAGTTGGAACTCTCAAGTGAGAAGGGTATTTCAAAAGCCAATCTGAGAAACATCCATAATCTTAGAAGCCTACAAGAAAGTTAAAACCATCTGGTAAAATGTCTCACAAAAAAAGTTAACTCTTCCTAGCCCTCTCAACAGTCCCCAAATTTCACAGGACAGTACTGTATTCTCCAGCCTCTTTAAGCACAATACCACTCTTTGAATTTAAGTGCAATCCAGGATCTACCTCAAACCCAAACATTCTTACCCCGCTTCCTTCCCGCCCCTTCTCCAAGGCCCTGCCTCTGCTCACTCCATCCTCCTTCCCTCCCTCCACCACCCCATTCACTTTGATCAGGCTGGAGGTGAGGGCTGGGGTGTGAGGAAGGGGAATGCGGTCTCAGATCTTGGGTTAAAGGATTTGGAGTGTGGCAGGGGTTCTGAGCTGAGCCTGGATCAGGGAGTTGAGGTGCAGAATGGATGCAGGCTCTGGGAGGGCGTCTGGGTGCAGGGGAACTCAGGGCTAGGGCGGGGGTTTGGAGTACAGGAGGGGTTCAGGACTGGGACCGGGGTTTGGAATGCAGGCTCCAGCTGGGCACCACTTACCACAGGTGGCTGCTGGGTGGTGGTGGTGTGGGGCGCTAACGCAGACTCACTCTTCCCCTGGTTCTGCACCACTCCCAAAAGCAGCCAGCAAACACTCCATCTCTGCCTCCCTCTGCTCTGTACAGATGGGGAGGGAGGAACAACCTGACATCAGCACCCTCTCCTCTTC